GTAGGGGTGAGCAGCGGAACCGGGTACCCGGTTACGGAACCGGAACCGCCTTGGAACCGCCGGTTCCGGAACCGAAACCGATATGAGTGGTTCCGGTTCCGGTTCCTAAAATACGGAACCGATTGAGAACGGTTCCGGTTCCGGTTCCAAAAATTTAAGAACCGCTCTAACCGGTTCCGGTTCCGGTTCCAATATCTCAAGAACCGCCGGTTCCGGTTCCGGTTCCAATATCTCAAGAACCGCCGGTTCCGGTTCCGGTTCCGGTTCCTGTAAAAAAGGGCGGGTACCCGCCTATGCTCACCCCTAATGGTGGGTGCTGTTTGGACATGGGATCCAGGTGGTTGGCAACCGCCATGATTACTTTCTCCTTTTCGGGTAATTATATGATTTTGTAAAATGTCTTTATGGTCCAGGTAATAATAGCCACAAATATTGCAGAGACTAGTATTACAATAGACGATGTAGTCTATGTCATTGACTGTGGCAAACACAAGGAGAATCGCTACAATCCACGGAAGGTTTGTCTATTTCTCACCTATATTGTTTAAAAATACATGCAATGATGGAAGAAAACAATTGCTTATGTTTGCATCTTGTATATGCCTTTCTATGCTTATTCTGTTTACAAGTAAAATGACGTTAGTTTTTGGATTTCTGCTTATAAGGCATTAATCACACATCTAAATCTTAATTATGAAATATGCTGTTGGACCCACTCTCCTGTTTGTCACTGCAACAATGTGAATCTAGATCGCTAGAGGTGCCTTTTGCCTGGGTGGTATCCGCAGGCACCCTTGGGACTTGGAAGAGATATAATAAGTCAAGAATGAAGTTTAAATACCTAAAAAATGTATTCTTCAAGGAATCAGGGAGATGAAATAGTATTGCTGGAAAAAGGAAACAATTTATTTCCATTTTGAAAAAATTGGATTAAAAAAATGTTCAAAAAAGAAATAATCTAATATTGAAGTGAGTTATTTTCTAACTAATTGATCAATGCATGTAGTAAATATTAGAAACAAATTTGAACTTCGACCAACTTATGACAGTTTCAGTTGATGGCAGTGCATCTTAAGCTGTACAAACTATGCCTAGTTATGTTTCCTAAAAGACGACGTTAACATTTTAATCTGTATTATGAGGTACCTTAACCCGATATCTGCCTCCATGATAGTAATGCTATCCTTGGTTCCTTGATTTTCAATAAGTTTTCTGACTTGATATACATTTAGACAAAGTGTGAATCCTTGACCTAGAAGAAGACCCTGAACAATAAACCCATTATAATGAAAAGATTTGTGGAACTTGCATATAGAGGTGGCCAAAATATGATCAAGCTCTTGGACACATTTGAGGGACTCGTAAATTAGTTAATGAAGACCAGAGAAAAAGTCAAGGATGTGGTGTTTCTTCTTAATCTGTTGCCTATTGGAACAAGCTTTCTGTCACTGTCAAGAACTCAACCCTTACTTTCAGGAGAGGTCAATAGTAAGGGATCATCAAAACCCAACTTGAGCGAGCAAAAAAATACGAAAACACTATCCCATGAGGTGTTCTTGTCATGGAAAATGTCTTGCTCAACTTTGCTCATGATCATGGCACGTGGACTGTTGACACAGGGGCAGCTTTGATGTAATTCCTCATGGGGGGTTTTTAAACATGACAAAGTGGTTGCTTTGGTGCCCTAACTGGGAAATGATGGCACCATATTCATTAGGATGCCTCATCATGTATAAACAATTTTCTTATCACATTTGACTTGGTACACATGCCCAAAAAGTTTCATAATTTTGAATCTCAAGCCTCTGTTGCTGGCAATGTGCTCGTGGTCCAGAGGCCACTCCTTAATGCTCCTTTACTGGTTGGCTCCTTCAATCTCATATGAGACCATCAGGCTGCATCTCAATGGTTTCTTTCTTCAACATCCACATGCAACTGTGCATATCTTCAATGTTCACTCTTATGTCACCATTTACAGTATAAGCGCTCAATGATCAGTCATCTCCAATGATTAGCAGCCTCCAACCCCTAAAATCTGGCCATTTTATCTTCAAGGCCTAAATAATCCTATTCTAATCTTGTCTTCCGCATCTCCTCGCAATCCTATACTTCGCTACCTCCACAATGACTAGATCTCCTTCATTATCCCATAGAATTCGATTGATCACTGACAAACACGTCCTAAACTTCTGGCAAGCCTCAGCTTGTTGCTGCAGACAAAAGCACATTAACAAGGATTCCTCATCACCATTTTAAAGGCATATCATCACTTGGTTTCTCACTGACATAGAATCTCCATCGTCATTATTTGCATATGTAAAAGTTTTGCTTGTTTTATCTCTCTATGGATGGTCACATGTGGTGCTTGACCAATTGTTTCTTGGTATGAGGCCTTTCCGTTAGAGATGGATGTACTTTGTGGCATGTTGTGACACCCCATACTCCACATTTGCATATAACATATATTTCATATAAAAGAAATACAGATTACACCACATAGGTCCCACTAGTACAAGGATTCTATATGTACATAATTTACAATTGAAAAATTCCCAAAAGAATAACCTTGTACTAGCACATGTATGTCTACATGTATCTTCAAAATACTTCAATAAACAGATTTGATCCTCAAAACAACAGATAAGCATATAACGAAAATAATCATATTTTCCCCTTCCCCTTAATATCCCGAGACCCTGTTGATCCTGCAATGCATATTTAAAACACAAAATGAGGGTTAAACCGGAAGGTCTAGTGAGATAACCCTTTCTTTGCAATTACAGGGTGAAGATTACCAAAATTTATTTAAAAACATATTTTTACATGCACAGATACATACTCCTTGAAATCTGCATCAATTATAAAATACAGAGACGCAAGACTCCTCTGGCTCAACTGGTCAGAGCTTCCCGGCTCTTAAGGACCAGTGCTCCTCTGGTTACTAAGGACAGAGCTCCTCTGTCTCTAATGGACAGAGTTATTTATTAAATCATTCCTTTTAGTTGGCCAGAGCCTATACACTCACGCTCCAAAAATAACTAACGCTACCATTCAACCAGAGACCCTTTGGATGATTAGAGTCTCTGATCCGAATAGACCAGAGTAGGAATTTTAAAGAAAGAGGATAACTAAAATATCAGAGCTCCTCTGGTTCTCTGTTCTATTTGCAAAGGATGTTTAAAAGGTTTAGACTTGTAAGAAAATATAATCAATTAAGTTTCAAAAGACAGAGCTCAGACGGAGAACTCGGACACCACACTCAAAACACAAAGCTAGGTCATAAAACTTGAAAATACAATTTTCATGATACAGAGCCTCTGTATAGCACATACAGAGCATCTGGTCATATAAACTCCGAGAACACTTGAAAACTATTCGCATGACCAACTTTAGGATACAACATACAGAGCCTCTCGATCACAAGATTCCTGAAAACACTTAAAAGATTTTCCACACGACCAGAGGCCCGTCTTAAAGAACAAACAAAGCTCCTCTGGTTCCGATCAAATACTTGTTTCTCTTGATCAATTATAAAACCAAATACTCAGATTTCATTAAAATCATTTGAAATCATAGGCGAATAATGCCTCTGGCTATAAGCCGTTTTCCCCTTCTCAATAACATCAATGTTATTATTTCAATAAGAGCAACATCTCTAAGTCCCACGTCACAAAGAAATGTTAACCTAGAGCTATTATCTCTTATTGATATAATAACAAGAGCTATTCAAATGCCACCCTTATCCAGATGTACACCTCTTCTTGATATGCCACCCTTATCCCATGGTACACCTCTCCTTGATATATTACCTTTATTTCCTCCTCAAATCTACAGATAGATATGTAGTTTTAGCCAATAATGGCCTCAAAATAGTTTCATACCGGAACAGACTTACGTCACAACCGTCCTGTAGAAACATTGATAAAATAGTTTCATANGAACAGACTTACGTCACAACCGTCCTGTAGAAACATTGATAAAATAGTTTCATACCGGAACAGACTTACGTCACAACCCTTCCGTAGAAACATTGTTTCAATTCAGAACAGACTTACGTCACAACCGTCCTGAAGAAACATTTGAAAACTCATATTTTCTTTCAAAACAAACCTCATGTCACAACCGTCTTGAAAGAAAACCACAACAGTATCTTTTCTAAACTTTTCAACCTCATTTGAAAAGATAATACACTTTTTGGTTATAAATGGTTCGGATACACTCTCATCGGACAACATTGTCCGAAAACTAATTACACCAAATAAAACTTGACCAGACAATAAATCCTCATCGGGCAATACTGTCCAAATACAGGTTCTTATCAGCTTTTAAATCTTCATAAAATAAACACATACCGACTGAACAGTTTTACCATCTGTTCCACAAAAACCCATAATCTTAACAAATTCAAAGACTATTCTTTTAAAGCAAAAACTCACCTTATATGTGATAAAAACAACAACAGAAACTGCTTTGACTTCAAACCTGAATTTTCAGCTTCTAAATTTTTAGAAGGAATTCACATACTTTCAGTGTTTTCTTTCCCCAGTTTTGAAGATAACCTTCTTCAAAAGAATTCTCCTTTTTATATTGTCAAAAGAGGCGGTTTGGAAAAGAACTATATAAAATTGTTTCTTCATATCCTTTCCAATTCAGGCGGTGCCAAAGAAATATTATAAAATTCTCTTTTTCTCACTAACACCTTATTCATACATATCATCATGACCCTGAATATAAATTCATACATACATGCATATTATTACTTCCATAATTTATGCATGTTAACATATAAAACATGCATACACATGCATATTAACAATCTCATGCATACATACTTTCACATATATAAATATGCACATATTCACATAATCAAATAATCACGTAAATATTACCTCAAGTGTATAACCAGAAACCCGGTTATCACACTATCCACCCCTCAATTTAATTGAACCATGAATATCCAGTTCTCATCTCTGATTCGAACTCCTAGGTTGCCTCTGATCCTTTATGAAAGTGCCATTGAACTTTTACTAGACTGATTTCTTTGTTTCGCAACACTCTAGTTTTCTTATCAGTAATAGCTTCTGGAGTTTCTACAAAATTCAGCTTACTATTTAATTTCACTTCTGGTAGCGGCAGTGCCATACTTGGATCCGCTAAACACTTTCGTAGATTAGACACATGGATTGTTATGGATCAAACTAAGCTCCTCTGGTAGCTCCAACTGATATGCAACCATTCCAATTTGCTTGCAGATTCTAAATGGCCAATATATACCTTGGACTGAGCTTACCTCGTTTACCGAATCTGACCACATCTTTTCATGGGGAAACTTTTAACATCACATTATCTCCTTTGAGAAATTCAATCGGTAACTTTTCTGATGGTCCTGAGCTGTTTTAATTCTTCCACAAATTTTGTTCAATTTTTCTCTGAAGTAACTTGAACAATTTCTGGACCTGTTAACTGTCTCTCACCCACCTCATTCCAACATAACGGTGTTCAGCACTTTCGGCCATAC